ACGTAATGGTAAATAAGCATTTCTGTTCGTTTTGTGAAGTTGTTTTGCTGTTTTTATTTCCATTGATTAATAAATGTTCTTTATACTCACTCACTGAATAAAAATTAAACGTAATAGTAAATTACTATTTATGATATTGTTTTGTGAGCTTGTTTTCCCCATTGATTAATAAATGTTCTTTATACTCACAGACTAAATTAATGCGAATGAAATTAATTTAAACATAATGTTAAATAAGTTTTTATGTTCTTGTTTTGTGAGCTTGTTTTACTGCTTTAATTTCCATTAATTAATAAATGTTCATTATACTCACAAGCTGAATGAAATGATTAATGCGAATAAAATGAATTTAAACATAATGGTAAATAAGCATTTATGTTCTTGTTTTGTGAACTTGATTTGCTGTTTTTATTTTTAAAATTAATAAACGATTTTTGTACTCACGGGCTAAATTGGCAAAAATAATAATTATTTATAAGCTTAAATGTAAGATACGCAGATTAATAAATATCTTAATGCTTACTCCCTGATAATTAAAGTTTGATGAGGTTATTTCAATTTTAATTTAATAAATTACAAACCATTATATTAAGAATTAACTTACTTCTTACTCCATTCACTACATATACTATAATTCTTTTCCACGCCAATTCCATAAAGGTAACAAATGGCAGTTTTCCAAATTCCCATTGAGTTACCGGCTTCAGCAGACTTCAGGTAATATGTAAACGCTTTCTGCTTATCAATTTCAACACCAATTCCTAAATAATAGCAATAACCAACTTGATACATTCCGTTAGAATCATTCATGTCAGCCGACTTTTGATAGTATGTAAATGCCTTGTTTTCATCCTTTTCAATATCAATTCCATATTCGTAACAATATCCAAGCCTGTAAATTCCGTCTGGATCACTCATATCTGCCAATTTTTGACAACTAGCAAAATTTAGTTGAATGAAATTATCGATTAATTTGGTCAAATTTTCGTTTGATATTTTGATTTATGAAAAAAAGAAATATATTGATGCTGTAAAATTTATTCCTTGCATTGGTTAAACATTATAGCCTAAATTATACCTGTACAGAGTTCAACAATGGTATGTAGTACGTACGTACGGTGCAGGAAGATTAACTATTAATGCATTATATAAAATCTGGTTATATATTTATTAATATAAGTAATTCATAAAACTAGCTAACACATTTATTTATTTATTTATTATATAAACTAGAACATAATCATGCATGTGGCTTCGCCGCCTGTTTTATTTATTATGCGTAGAGACAAAATTGTAAAGATTCGCAACTTTGTTGTGTCTCAGATGCATCCTTACGTCGGATCTAATCGGATGCCGATTTTAAGATGATGCACGTCATCTGTCGATTGGTTAACCAGTATGATCGCATGAATGTGTAACATGAATGTGGTACCGTTCAACTTTTTTGATGTGGCCTATGCTGATTTTGAAAAATCCTTTTTTTGGTAAGAATAATGATTTTCATTTATTCGTTTTTAGAAAATGTTAATACTTTTACATATTACATAACTACACCATTATGTAATTGCCGATGAATTGCTACATATGTGGGTACATATGACTGTGTGAAAATAATAATTAATCTATCGCTATTCCGAGTTCGTCCATTTGATTTTTTTGAATGGTCACCTGCACAGTTTTTGTCGTATATTACGTATTAGTACGTATGTACGTATTTGAACTGTTAAATGATCATCTGTAATAGTTACGACATTTTTGATCGTTTGCACTGTAACGTTATTATTGAATATTCGTAATCATTAATGTCATAATATATTTGTAATCGATCTATGAATTAATAATCAATACATAACGATAACGATAAAAATTAAGACATTGTGAACTATCAGAATTACATCTTAGCATGTCATTAGAACCGTTGATGTTACACAACTGATTTTACACACGGTGTGAAGCACATAAAAAATTATTTTACAATACTTGATCGGACTTGATCAGTCAGCTAGTATATGTTACGATTATAATCCAACATCATTTTTTTATAATAAAAAATTATGTTGGATTATAATCATAACATGTACTATTCTCTTTGAGCCTAAAATATGAACGAAATTTTTGATGGAATTATTTATAAATAAAATATTAAATGTTATCGTGCAAACTCAGATTTTTTCTTCTTGTTATTTTTTGTACGTTATTACATAAACACAACAATCTCGAATTAAAACTCAGTTAGCCAATAATGACTTTTAAAGCATCATAATTGCACGATAACATCGATATTGGATCATGCGATGATAAATATCATAACTTACAAATATCGACAAAGAATAATTAAGTACGTTCATGGTAACAAAATCAAATAATTAACAAATTATTTATACCGTACAAGCGCGAAATAACGCGCAGGGGCGTTATTTTGAATTCTGGCCCGAATTAAGCTTAATTTAGGCCAAAATTTGAAATTAAACCCCTGCGCGTTATTTCGCGCTTGTACGGTATGGATTATTATGTTCATTCCTCAGAATGATTTAATTTATATGGTATATATTAGTGATTAGTCGTAATGATATCAATTATAGAATTAACTTTATTATTGATTTTATTAACATTGACTTTTGCAAATTTGACTTAAAATATTTCAATCAATTAACTCAATTGATACATATTCAGAGGAATAAAATAAAATACTAAACGAAAAATGAAGAAAAAATTGGGATTATTACATAGCAATTAACAAAGATCATAATGCTATTTGTTATTAATGTTTAAAGCATTGGTGTCATGGACGTCCTGCAGAAACAGAAGCTCATCTTGTAATATTTGTCAATAGCTCTATAGATATGAAGAATACTTTTCTGAAAAAAATTATTGATTACAATCGAACAAAAAAACTTGTAATCATTAGCTGCCCGATATGAAAGTATCAGTGTAGCATTCTGTGTCGAATCGATTATGGGGATATCGCGATGGGGTGTGGTTTCGAATTTCGGCCTAAATTAAGCTTAATTCAGGCCGAAATTCGAAATAACACCCTATGCGCTATTTTGCGATTATACTGCAAATATAAAATAAAAAATAATTTAAAATAAAATAATTCAAAATAAAATAAAATAATTAAAAAATAATTAAAAAATAAAGTTAAACCGAATTAAAAAATAAAAAATAAAACGAGAAAAAAAAATAATAATAAAAAGAGAAAAAAAATAAATAATAAAGCTAAAATTTTAGTTCCTACTCTCATGTATGTTTTTCAGTTTGTGATGAAACATTAAAGAAAAACTGCTGAATAAATAGCTTCCGAAGTGTTTTTTATTCAATTGTGAAGAGCTAGAGAACTAGTATTAATGAGTAAGAAGAAATATTTAAATAAAAATTTAACATTTACGGAAATAAAAATTACAAACCAATTATTCGAATCGATACTTTTTTACATTAATTTTTAAGCCATCCGATCAGTGATTTACTTCGGGACAAAATTTGTATTTGACTTAATACAACCACCCTAGCATCCCCAACCTAAAAATTTCACAATTGGGCCGAATTAAAATTTAAGATCAGGTGTAACATAAATTAAACTAAAATTATCCAAACCATAAACCTAACTCTGGTATAAAATTTTATATATTTACTGTACTCTAAATTATATAAATAATATAATAAAATTAAAGTATTTTAATAATGAGTTTTTTTTTAAAAAAAAATAATTTTAATATATTAATACAAAAGCTACTATTAGTATCAAAACACATTCTATGTCTGTAGATTGTAAGAATAAGCTATAATAAAAATTAGCCGATAACATAATTCTAAGCTTATAATTACTGTCGCATGGATATAAAGACATGTTTGATGCTAGTATATCTGTTATACAAATCTTTTTTTAACAAAATTATACATTTTTAATGGCGTATGTCTGCAAAATCTCATAACTAAGGCAAGACCAATTTAATTCAGTGGTTTACGTTACATCCTACTCACAAAAAAAGAGGGGCTGGAGGGAGTTTATTATAATTTTTTTCTCCGAAATGATCCGCGTTATTATAAAAACTTTCCGAAATTTTCCGCGTATATAGTGAGGGGGGACGTAAATCACTGAATCAAATTGGTCTCGCCTAGTTGGACAATGCATTAAACGCAGTAAAAACAGTAAAAACGTGATTTTCTGCACTTAAACATCACGATATGCATCACACAACATTGTATTTATATATTCTATGAGATTTACGAATGTACTAACTTGTATCTTTATTGCTTAGCAGGTTTTTATCTCGATTTAAGTACATTCACTAAGTGGCTGCCATGACAATCATTTATAAAATTGTTTTTTTTTAATGTTAGCATTAATGTTATTGTTACGAAAAGCATTCGCATTACATGACATTTTGTTTTTATTTGGACTATGCCGGCAAATAATTTAGGCCGGAGGTGATTTTTATTGAAATAGCAGAAATGTGCTAGAGAAGCAAGTAACTGACCGAGTTGGCCAGAACGGCAAAGACATCCCGAGAAAAAGCAATCGTAATTGCGCTGGGAGTCGCCGTAGGATTATTGTAGCCGGTGGTTTCCCGCCTGCCGAAGCAAGCCGGCTGTGAGTGAAGAATGCATGCGAAGAAATGCAAGTGAGGAAATGATAGAATCACGTGTCTTCATCTCGGGTGGGTTGGGTGGGTCGCGCGAATTTTCTGTTCAAGCACTTGTGGACGTTGAAACGTCGTACCTAAACTTTTATACATACGTACCAACTATTCCCATTGTAGTGCCTTATTTGTCTTTGATTTTCCTTGCGCCATTTTCTGATTTCACATGTTATTAGCCTTACCTGTAACGGCATTATGGAGGTGACAAGTCATGTGCTTGCTCTTCTTTTCGATCACGTGATATCCTATCACTTCGCATGAAAAAAATTTTATTACTATGTTGGCCCGAAAAAAAAAAAATTATTTCCACCACACAGCAGTCCGAAAAAAAATGCAAAAGGAATGTACAGAAGTATAATCATGGACTCTTCAACTCCACGTCCTTTACATACTCTTCGTGATCTATTGTCATCTGTGTTGAATATTAAAAAAGAAAGTTAACAATCTTAATATATACTTGATAAAAGAGTAAAAATAAATAAATAAATAAATAATAGAAACGAGCCTAAAAAAACATTGGCACAAGTTGAGATAGAAACGATCCTAAAAAATCTTTGGCACAAGTTAAGAGTGAAAAGCGAACGAAAAACTTGGCAATGGTGATTGAGCTGATTATTTTTCGACAAAGTATAAAGTTGAAATTACTATTTCATCGCACAAAGTATGAATGCAGAAATAGCTATGGCCATACAATGGGTACTCAGCCCGAAAAAAAAAAGAAGCAAATAAAAAAAAAAAGAACGTACAGAAATATAATCATAATTCTTCAACTCCACTTCCTTTACATACTCTTCGAGATCTATTCAAAGTAAGATTTCATCCTATGAAGTTTGTCATCTGTATTGAAAGTTAAGGGAAGTGAACGTTCTTCGTATATATACATGCTACGTAATCATTCTTCATGTATGAGTCACCACTATAGCAAAATAAACATATTTATGGAAAAAGAACAAAGAATTTCAAACATGGATGCCTAATTTTCCGCTTGTACATATGTGCAATTTACAAGATTTTATAAGTTAATACACTAACTAGAATCTAAAATAGTTTAATTGGAGCTAATTCATGTTTTTAAATTCACATATACTTTTTGTAACCTTTGAAATTTTATTGTTATGCGATAAAACATAGCATTTTTTAATGTTTCTAAAATGGTAATTTTATAATCCCAGAGGCATATGAGGTTGGTAATGGGCTATTGATATTTAGTTACGGGAGAGGTACAGTAGTTATATTTGGAAAAATATCCAGAATTGTAACATCTCGGCGAATTTTATAATATTTTGCTAACCAAATTTATGATCAGGTATAATACGAAAAAAAAAACTTCAAAATAATTTGAAAAATTATGTGAACTTTTGTGAAATGTAGCTTGGTAAAAAAAAAACATAACACTAGGTTTATTAAAGAAAAACCCAATGAAAAACACGTATTATTAAATTTTTAAAATATTTGACGCCCTTATATATACGTATAATTATTTAATTTTAAATAAAAGGAATTTATAATTTAAAAATCAAACACCGGTCGTATATTAAGAAAAAGATTTAGTCGGAAACTATTATACAATAACTTTATGATTTCTAATTATTTTAGAATGAAGGTCAAACATAAAAACAAACGAATTATCTATGCATTATCAAGGAATTGTAAACTGTGAATAATGAATCAGTGGCTACAGCTTATTAAAATTAGTGCTTTTTATCAATAAAATTTAAACTTTCAGATTTTAATTTTTATCGGAATTAAAATTTAACAAATTTGATAAAAATTATCCTTACAAGTTATTAAAAAATATTACGTGATATTATAAATTTTTTTCGATTGTGCGTTCAATTAAAAAATTTCGGAATGATATATACTACATAGAATACTAAAAAGTATGCACGTATGTAAAAGACAAATTTATCAGGTTATAAGCTTTACATATTTAATCATATATAAAAATGGAAAAAAATAGTCAAGTTTATTGTATAAATCAAAAAGTGAATAACATGATTCCAAAATTCCAATTTTTGTTCCTTAATTGAGTTCTTTGATAGTGATAGATCATATCTAAATACAGTCAAGCTTTGGCATGCTTCCATCATCTTAATAATTATAAAGATCACTACGTTCTTGGTTTTAGTGCGACAGCGTCGCGCAGCTGCCTTATTATTTAATTACGTTCTATATAAAAAGTTATGTCAAACTGGATGCAATTGAGCCATAACTAGTGAGTAATATGGGTCAGTCTGTACCGTTATGAGGTTTCGGGACTTTTTGATCAAATCTTGATAATTTATTGGATTATATTCTTGAGTAGACGCTCTATCTGTAGCAGTAATTTTTGTTGAGATTATTATATTATAATTCTAGTTCAAAGTTTTTTTTTTACTTATATCGTTCTTTGGTCCTAAATATAAATTTTTGCATATTAATGCAAGGGATAATCTACATTAATTGGCCAATTAAATTAACCCTTTCATACATTTAAAGTTAACAATATTTTAATATGTAAGTTTCTAATATTAGACTTAGCTCCAAAAATTATATCAAATTGATTAAACATCGATTTCTCAATTTAAGAAATTGTGCCCGAAGCCTCAACGGTACAGACTGACCCATATCATCATTTATGCAAAATATAAGTTTTCGCGCATAATAACTTTTGATCTACTGGTCCATTTTGGACGATTTTACCACCAAACTGGCCGTCTCAATGGGACGATTCTAAAAAAACATTGAATCGTCAAGATCCAATCACGGGGCCCTGAGATCGATATAGATTTATCTTTTATAAAATTATATTAGTAAATCTGCAAAGTTTTACATACCGTATTTTTGCGAAATAACACGCAGGGGTGTAATTTCGAAATTTGGCCTGAATTAAGCTTAATTCGGGCCAAATTTCAAAATAGCGCCCTGCGCGTTATTTCGCGAAAATACAGTATAAACCTTTAATGAACTCGATATCCCATGATTGGATTCTAATAATTTCGTGCTTGTTAGAATTGGCTCACTGAGATGGTCAGTTTGGTGGTAAAATTATCCAAAACGGGCCATTAGATCAAAAATTATTTATTGTCAAATAATTGGCCACAATACCCCTCTCACCTATTCTATTTGTGTGCTAATTATTTATATCTAAAAATATATATGATATAAAGATTTTTTTTACAGTAATTTATTCTTTCTTAAGTAATAAAAATTGTACAAAAAATCTACATAATTATTTTTATTTTTGTTTTTTTTGTTAAGTGTTCAGAGACTAGAGTTTATTAACATTTTAGATGTTAAGGCCAATTGACCTAGTACAAATTGTATTTTACAGTAATGAATTTAATCTAGCTGATTTATGCCCAACATATTATGTAACTCTGGTATCTTTATATTTAGCACTACTACCAATTTTATCTATTACCAGTAAGCTTTTAGCCCAAAGCCTTTTATCTTATCTAAGACAAGCATTAGTTGTATATGCCTGCCTCAACTCTACTTTGTATTCTACACATATTTCTAGATCAGATATTAGAGATATTACATCTTTAAACCAAAGTTAGTACTTGGGTATTACCCCTATATATCCACTACCTTTAAAGAGTTTATATTCACCCTGAAGCCTATTTTATTTTTCTTTTCAGTCCTTCTCTCTAGTTTAATATTTTTCCAGATAGTGTGCTCAAAATGAGATCAGTTTATCCTAGCTTTAAATGCCCTTGAACTCTGAGCTCCTGGTATATGATTTTATAACACATGTCTTTTTCTTTCGGTGTAACTCTGGTAGCTACCCTGGTCAACTCTTACCTCAAGAGGTTCATGCCAAACAATACCCATGACTAATGCCAGCCAAGTTCCATTCTATAGCATTATTAAAGGTTTCTACCACCTTTCTAATTTGGGTCTTCCCAAACAGGTTTTTGGTTATTCTAACTTTCTAGGATTTTATACAGTTTACACCTTATTATGTGTTTGTCACCAAAGATCACTAAAATGCATTTATCTGTACAACTAAGTACAGATGCAGGGCCAACGGTTTACTACTTTTTACAATAGCTTCTTACTATTACTAGATAGTGTCACCTAAGATTACAGAGTTTTAAGCCCCAAGTACTATTTTTAAGATTATCATTAACTATAATACAGACTAATATTCAAAAACACCATTTGTGGAATTTAAATACTAGATCTGCTGCTTGTTGGAATGACAACTAGATTACTTCACTAAGCCACCACACCCTTCTATATGATTATTAAAAAGTTTTATTAGTAAAAACTTTAACCTGGCTACAATATTCTATTTACCTTATATATAATGTTTGATACTGTATATTATACAATATTACTAGTTTTTAAATGATGAAAAAATTATTAAATATACAAAATATAAATTAATTTATTTTTATTTTTATAATAACTAAATTTACTTTTATTATCAAATATCTTTAATATTAATATTTAATATCAATACTTTTTTATTAACAACTTTGTTTGTAAATTCTTGCTTTGTTTGTAAATACTTGATAATAGTTTAGTAGTTTTATATATAGTACATTCTTTCTATATTATTTAGAAAATATACAAAATTTATTAAAAATTAGTTTTTAAGAAGCATGCTATTTATCACATAATTTTTACCATGAATACATGGCCAGAGATAATAATTATATCTATATATAGTATTAACTAATTAAAATTAAATTAAGTGATTACACTATACATGAATAGGGTAGCTACTAAGTAAAAAAATATTGCATAATAAATGGTATACCCCTGACTAGAATTATAAATTAAAGTTAATCAAATATTAAATAAACTTTATAGAAAAAAACTTTATACATTATTTGCTCTTTGTTATGTTTTAATTTGCTATGTTTTATTTTATAACTATATTCATATCTCTAATCATTATATGTCTTATCTACTTCTCATTAATATTAATAAAAATAAAAAAATCATTAGCTTTAGTAGCAATTATATGAGAAATTATTTTTAATATAAGGCCATGCAAATAAAATTAATTGGTTCTCATAACATATTAAAGTTAAACAGTACCTGGAACTCAGCTGTTTTTGTATAAATATAAAAAAATATTATATAAAATTTTAAACAAATTTTATATTAAAAAATATAATAGCTATAATTAAATAACTTCTATACAATACAAAAAATCCCAATCTAAAATTCTTATATTATAAATAAGCTACTACTAAGATATATTTAGCTTTTTTGTTGACCTTTATTCTATATAAAGTAATTGAGGTTTTTATTTTTATTTTTTTATTTTTTATTTTTTGGTATTAAGGTGACCTTATTGGCCTGGAGACTTTTTATTAGTGTATAGATGATGTTTTATAGTGTAATTACAATATTAGTATATCAAGCCACATATGCACTTTTGATGCCTAATTTAAGTAGTCTACTCGAAACATTAGTGCTATGCTAAGAGTTTCACACTATATGCCATATCTGCACCCCAACTACAGGTATACCCATTTAAACTATTTGGTTCTAACTACCATCATTAGCCCTCTAACCTATGGATATTACTCACCATTCATACATGGATTTTGCTTCTACCCAATTTGAATTTGCATCCTACCTTAGGACTTACTAACTTAAGCTAGTTTATCCTTGAGATAAACCTAACAGAGCAGTATATGTTCTATATGCGTATTCATCTGCATATTCTTATAACTTCTTTCTAATTAGTATATATTAACCTGCCATTCCATATGCATATCTCATGCTACCTTTTGGGGTGCTGCCATTCTACAGACATTTTTCAAGTACCAACCTTCCTAATCAGGCGTCTATTATGTACTTACTGCCCTTATTTGGTTTATAATAAACCTGATACCCACATTTGGACTA